TTATACTATATAAAATATTTTTAATATTCACATTTAAATCTATCTAATTATTTTTTTTATTTTTTTTTAGATTTTTTATTTTTTCTTTCTTTTTCTTTTTCTTTTTTTACTACTAGTTCTTACATCATTATCATTATTATCATCATTATTATTATCATTATTATTGTTACCATCATCTTGATCTGAGATTATACATGTTGCCCAAATCCCAAATTACTAGTATTTGGGATTTGGAATTTGGATTTCAGCAAAAAATACTAATTATAATTTGGGATTTGGCATTTGGGATTTTGGCATTTGGGATTTTGGCATTTGAATTTTGAATTTGGGTGGCAGGTATATCTGAGATATCGAGATCATAAATTGGGATGGTCTTCTTATTCTACTTTATTATTTTCAATACTTCTTTATTTAAAGTTCAAATAAATGCATCTTTTGAAACTTTTATTTCATTTTTGTTCAGCATATATTGTGTAGATCTAATTCAAAGTTTGAAATTTTTTGGTGGTTTATACAAAAGATCAATCATTGGATCGATTCTTTTGTACAATAGCTTCTTTAACTATAAAATATCATTTGATATCATCTATTAATATTATACCCGATGATACTACCTGTTGGAAGAGTAAAGGGGCAAGTATAACAAGTACTTGAATTTAATCCAGTAGTTATCAGTGAGTTTTGGGAATATAGAAAGACAAATAAATATAAAGTAACTAATTTTCTATACTATAGAACAATAAAGGTAAGGAAATAAAGAAGTGACAAGTTAAAGGAAGAATAGTAAATATGGAGAAGAGAAAATATAGTAAATTCTAATCTAATAACAATAAGGAACAAAATAGAATAGTTTCACTAGAACTTTGTAAGGATTTTGAAGGATAGATGGATTCAAAGAATGAAGAAAGTAAGTTTTGACTATGTCACATGACAGTTTGAGTGAAGAATTAAAGATCAATGGTTTATTTTAAGACTCTAGATTATACAATATAGACTTTACTTATAATTTATAAACAAATGCAAGAGAATAAATAAACATGTGTATAACTTATTTATAAACAAGGTAAAGATTTTATTAAGAAAATAGAAAAAATACAAAAAGAAATAAAGAAAGTAAAGAAATTTATTCTAAGTTCACTTAAAAACTATCTAAAGATCACTGGTCGAAAATTGATAAATAATATACATATCGGGTACCCGATATGTGCATGGTACGTCTCTAATATCGGGCATATATCGGATACTCAATATGTGTAGAAAATATTTTTTACACTTATCGGGTACCCGATATGTGTATTATTTATCAATTTTCAACTGGTGTGGGTGTTTGTGAAGACCTATAAGAAGAATATTCAAACCAGTGCTTGTTATTTTATCAGAATTACCGAGGGGGTGTCTTGTTATAGGAACTCTGATACCTCCATGCTTATAACATTTAGGTTGTATACAAAGTCGGTAACCAGTGCATCTGCCTTTGAAGTTAACTGGCCAGTCAGATCATCAACAAACTCCATGGCCTTCATTGACAAAATTTCTTTTTCGATCCAATATGTTATACAATTTTCAAATACGTATTTGATGAGTTTGAATGGTGTTGATACACGGTCGACAAGAAATTTCCTTTCGAAATTATGTCTCAGAAGAATATATTTTGGGCTATATTTAATCATTGTACAAAATTCTCTCAGTGTTATCGCAAAAATATCATACAATTTTTGTCTCAATTTGTAACATGTTCATCCTGTATGGTTGCATCAATTGTTTATATAACTTTTTTGAAGTAGGTGAAGAAAAACTTCTCGTAACCATTTTGCAAGAGTTGGTCCCAAGCTAATTAATTTTTTCTGATTTTTCTCTTGGGTTTCAATTTCTTTTACGATATCTAGGTATCTTACATGGGTAAAACTTTTAAGAAATTTAAAACCAGGAATAACTTTGGGTGTTAACAAATTGAACTGATTTTGCATAAGAATTGGTTTATAAGGAGTCGTAAGGTCTACATTTTGATCATAGTCTGATTTCTGTATCCAAAATTCTGCCTGCATTATTTCTCTTAGACTAACACCTTGAACATTATTTACTCTTGGGGCAGGAGTGAGCATACTTGGAAGTTCATCTTCACTTAAATTTACATCAAAATTATCAAGATTCATTCTCTTTATTACCTGTTGAGTTAGATCATCAACTTTCTCGTTAAATCTTTTTCCATGAATATTAAGGATATTCTGAAAGGATATAAATTTAATGCTTTGTAATTGACAGAAAACAAATATAACATAATACTTACTTTTTCAAATGAAGCACCAGCTCTGAGCTTATTCAATTATTCTGTATGGATTTTTTCTACCATCACTAGCTTCCAGAAACTTTTGACCTCATTGCTTTCATTAATCTTTTGTGTTAACTGTTTCATAATTGTAAGGGCAATAATTTCCGGTGGATTTGATTCTAAAATTAGTTGCAGGCCTCGTTTGTAAGCTTGATGTGCTTTTACCCTTGAAAGACCAATCAAGATATCATTTTTTCTAAATTCAAGAAACTCAACAAGAAACCAGCAATCCCATCTTGTTTCAAAGAAAAAATTGTCAATTTTGATTTCTGAGAAGATCTGAAGGTGTCCAGTTCATATTAGAATCCATTAAATCTCTGTGACGCGTTGTGGGAAATTTAACCTGTCTGTATATCCTGTGACCCTACTTATTTAGAACGGGACTTTTTTTCGTCATGCATTTTTTCAGGCATTAACTGAATTTCCTTTAATCTGATTAAGTCAGCATGACGCATAACTTGCCTTCTGGTTTCCACCAAACCCAATAGTACGTCTGGCGGGTGAAGGGTACGTCCCAGTGGAGGTGCGAGATGGACCCAATAGTACGTCTGGTGGGTTATGAGTACGTCTCGCAACTGGGATTATGTTCTCGTCATGTTCTTTTTGGTTAATGATTATCTTTCTTTATACTAATTTTTTTTTCACTCGATTTCTCAGGTTTACTAAGAACTCGGAAGCACCAGTACGCATTGGTCTTTGCGATTTAATTTTATTAATAATTACAAATTTAGAATCAAGGGTATCGAACTGTGTATTTCTAATGTATATATAAATATTCATCTTCTTTTGAAATTTTGCAGAATGTAATTCAAAATAATAGAAAAGGTCGAAATCAATGAATTGTTCTCAGAAAAAATATATGTATATTTGCTTTTCTGGAGGCAGTCACAAAGTGACTATCATTACAAGTAAAATATATAAGGTACTTAGGTGCCAGGTACATGTGTTCATTGCAGGCCATTACTCTATCTTTTAATTAACTTATTTTTTGTAAATCGTTTATTAACAAATACTAATTATGTCATGAAAACGTTTTAATGACGATGAATCAGTTTTCTTTCCACATAGTAATATCCCGTACCGTCATCATCAGAAAATATTACATTTTTATCGAAACTATCTTCATCAGGTACACTTACCATAATTTCCGATAATTATTTGACTTCCTCAATTTCTGGTAATTTTTTCAAATTTGCTTCCTCATTTACCGAATGTTGATCATTTTCTGGAAGATATACTTACCTTGATCTCCAGTAAAATTTGACATCATATATTCTGAATTGGCGGAATCAATTTTTTGAGATTCAAGCAAAGATACTTTTGCATCTAATTCTTTAGTATAATATTTTCAATTTGTGTACCCGAAATAGCGGTTTTGTCCTTTCCTATTTTTTTAAACCTTTTGAGTCTTCTTACGCAAATACTCTCTCTTAATTCCAGGTAAATATTGCACCATTTCATCATATATTTGTGTTCTTGCCATCTGATCACTAATATTATTTTCTGAATTAAGAGTTGAAACCTTTTTTTCACATTCCTCACTATAACAATACTATTGTAATTTTTTTTCCGTCCAGTTTTCTCCACTGAATAAATGCGCTAGATAAGGAATTAAATCATTATTTGTCATATTATTATTGTGAAATAAGGTACCAGAAATTTGTTTACCCAAGAATTTTGTAAGATCATGGTGTTGTTACTCCTAATAAATTCAAGCAATTCACTTATTAAGCCCTGTTCTACTTTTTGATTATATGGAATTTTTATTTCAGAAGGTGAAAGTCCATTACTTTTCGCAACAATAGAATCTTGTTTTGATTAGATGATTCGGACGCATGATGAATTGGAATGTTTGATGAATTATCTCTGCCGTACGGCAGGGGGTCATGGTTATAAGATGTCTCATTATTTTGTAATACTCCTTTTTGCGATTCCGTTCTCTTATTTCGTTTCTTTATGTACCTGTTCCAGAAATTCGATCTCTTTATCTTCAAAAGTTTTATTTTCCAGCAAATCGATGACGCAGAGCATTGAGCCTTTGTTTTCCTGACATATATTTTCAGATAATTCTGAAAAGCGCCACCAGTTATATCAGATACATTTTCAGGAATTCGAAGTATTATCAGTTATATCCGGTTCCGAAGATCCTCAGTTTGTAAGTCTATCTGTTCGGGTGTATCATTAGAATACTCAACTCACCTGATTTATCGTCATACATAAAGTTGTGTATTTATCCATAATGATCGGCGTGACATTTCATTTGTCACGCGTGTATGAAACTATTAAAGTTCCAAATTCGATATGGCTCGTGCATACGATCTTTGTAAAAAATTTTCTTTCGCCTAAACTGTACTGATCAAGATGGCTTCACTTTTCAAATCGAAGACTTTGGGACCTCCACTACTCAGGTAAACTTTTAAACTTCAGAAGTTTATAATAATTGCTAGTAGGAAAGTAGGAAAGCCTTTTATAGATTATTAGAAACGCGACCCGTTGCTCTGGGGAAGCGTGAGCAATTGTGATATTTACCATATTCACCGTGTACCCGGAGCTTCCAAACAGCAAGCGCATCGAGCTCTTTCATATGAACCGCGTACTGTTCTTAATACACTTCCACCAAAAAGCCAGGAATATTACAGGACAGAGATCTTTAACGGTAGCATTTTTTTCGTGTTCAAGTTAGAATCTGATTTATGTCAGGAACAAAATGATTGAAATACAAGCGAACGACTATGTCGAGCAAGGCAAATTGCGTTTTGTCTGAAGTGGGACGTATGTTACACCTGCGTCTGTAACATATATTAATGATTTTTCCGTTGACATCGTTTTAACCAAGTCCTGCAATGCGAATGAGCGACCTTGTCGCGCAAGGAAAATTGTGTTTTGCCTGAAGTGGACGGACGGCAGAAATGCTTTTTTTGCCGTCAGCAATTATTGATCAACCATGATATAATAACTTGTAATGCTTACTGTATTTTGTTCTTTCTTTCTAAGAACTGTAAAAAAGACGTGGTAAACATTAAATTATGGAAAGAACACTCCGTAGTACTCGGAAAGTTGGCTGTTGAAAATAGAATTAACAAAGTAATTTTATTTCTATGTAAAAATCCTGGTGTAACCTTTTCTAACTGGACGTAATTAGTGTGAAATCCTAACTACTGGAATACGTGCAGTAACCGAATTTCTTAAAAATTATTTATATAAAACTTCAAGCATCAATTTACACTTGTAAGTGTTAATAGCTTCGAAGAAGGAATACAACGGAGTCTGAAAATCAATTCCCAAATGACATCAAAAAATGGTCTCAGGGACCATGTAAAAAAATTCCTCGAATCTCGCATGAAAAGATTCGGATTACAATGAAACTGACATTAAAAAAATCAGAGGGCAAGATCTTACAGGTAGCTTTTCTTCATTTAACTGAAGAGGAAATAACTCGTAAACCTGGCCTTTATGAACTCAACCCAAGTCCAGCGGAAAATATTATGGAATTAGTTGAAGAACTCAACAAAAACTAGGTATGTAATTGGAATTATACGAAGTTCTTTCGTTATTCACAATTTCACAAACATCTTATTCATGACATTCTCTTGCTTTTAATCTAAGGAAAAGACTCCATTGAAGTCGTAGTTGTTACAGAATAGAAATATTTCATAAATCATGACATAATACTCGGAAATCTGCATGTATATATTGTACATGATATAAAAAAATTATTATTAAAACAAATTAAAGATCTGATATGTTTGATAAAATTCAAACGATATCCAGCCTATTTTGAGATTATTTGTGATCTTGGGATTCAGATATAAAAAATAGATCAATTTTAGAAAGATATACAATTATTTAGAATTGTTTTTAATCTCTAATTATATTTGATATACGATGCGACTTTATTGTAAATATATAAAATTTTTTACAAATTGAATTTACAAATAAATAAAGAATGACTAGGCATTCAAAAAAGCTGTATATATACAGTATATATATATATATATATATATTATTCTAAAGTAAGTTCCAAAAAAAAAAAAATACTATATACCTGATATATATTGTATCCGATAAACTTTAAATTTAATTAAAAAATATAAACATGAAATGAAATGCATGAGAAATTTTTATGAAAGAATTCTATAAAGAAAATTCCTATCTATATCAACATGAAAATTAAAATGTTTATTTTTCATTTACTTTTTTCCAACATCCATTCCAAGAATTTATCGCTTTCAATATCGAAAATTCTTTTATCTTGATACATTCCATATCTTCCTCTCATTCCATACAAGTTTGCTATTGCATCTAACCGATTATTATAATCATCATTATTACAAGTCGTGATGCCTACATATTTATCCACCTTGTTATTAAGATCCCTTAAATAAATCCAAATATAACCATTGGAAATAAGAGTTATTATTATCAATGTTAACAATACAATTGTTTCCAGATTTGGAATTGTAAATTGAATGGGTTCTAATAATGATTTAACAGTTGAAATGCTCGTTAGGGTAATAGAAAATATGGATTTAATTATCGATTGGATGAAATTATTTTCCTCTTCATTAATTGTCTCTGTAGGAAAATTGGATTGAGAGATATTTCTAACTCCAAAATGTGCACTAGATTGTGATAAACGTCTTGAACTAGGTCTACGGTTTAATGTTGTCGAAATATATGATGTGGAAGAAACAGATTTTTTTTTTTTGGTTGGTGATAATGGAACACTATCTACATCTGATTCATTGTCTATTTCAAATTCAGGTTCCCGAAATTCGGAACGATTTTGTGCAATATATTTTCTTACTGCTATCTCAAGGGCCTTAAAATGTTCTATTTGACCATCTATCACACCTTTTTCGATTGTTCCTATGAATTTATGTGCAAGATTAATTTGATTTCACATGCTTGGGAAATTATTATAAAAAGAACATAATAATATTATTATTTACCTTTTAACCAATTTGCCTTTGAAAATTCTACTGATGCTGTAACAATAACACGAACTTTATTTTTTCCTGCCCACATTATACAAGTTCGAGTTTTTACTGAGAACGTTTTACCGGATGGTACATAAGGTGTTTGGGTCGTTGATAATGTAGTAACGTAACTAACCAAATTAAAAAGTCGGAGATAAAAATTAAAGTTCAAAATTATTATATTTAAATACTAAACGATATATTAAGCAAATAATAACATTGATATTTTACTTATTAAAATCTCGATTTAAACATTCATCTGTTAAATAGCATTTGGTACTTTTCGGTCCTAATTTTTATATAAAAATAATTCAGAATTAAATCACATAGTAAAATCATGATAAATCTTCGTGATTCATATTTACTAACCAATTACATTTTTTAATCTTTTTGTATAACTCGCTTTACGAATCAATTTACCATCTTCGGTAGTATCCCATTCACCAAATTCCGTGTCTAATTAAAAAAAAAAAATTAACTTCACATAAACAAAATGTTTAATAACCATAAAATAAATTGATAGAGAAATGCATACCGTTATTATTCTCAAGTTTAGTGATGAACTCGGGAATGAATCCACTTGTAAATAATAAATTGTAAATCTTTTCAATGGTTCCAGTAAATTTTGTATCCATGATAACATCATTGTAATGTTGGTTCATTTTCAAACAATCGCATTGGGTTTCCAATCCTAATTGTTTTTGACTTTCATCATTAAGAGTAATTTGTTGCAAGGTTTGGATTTGACTAGATGGTCTAAGCGACGAAGATGAGATTGTGGAATTTTGTTCTTGCTGCGAATTTTCATTTACATCATTTGATGAGGTTATGAAATTTGGTTCTTGATGTGAATTTTCATTGATGTCATTTGACAATGTTGTTGGCGTATCAAAATCATCTAATTTTGGTCCTGGTTCTTTACAAAACATAATCAATGATTTTTTAGGCGAAGGTAAGTTATTCGTCTCAATTTTAATAGCTTCATCCCGTGTTTGTTTACGTAAGACCAAGTTTTTTCGTAATAATTGAAATGGCTTGGCACGAGGTTGAGAACGAGTTTTGGCTAATTTATAAAATTTTATTATAATTAATCAGATAAATTGAAATACAAACAAAAAAACACAAGTATAAAAGTAAAGTTTCTTACAACTCTCATTGTCGGAATCAGAAATAGAATTCGCACTTTCACAAGTACTTTCTTTTTGATGATTAGTTTCTGAAATATATTCTTGTAGTTCGGACTGTTTACTTGCCGCCATGGGATTTGCATAATGCCAAATTTTTATAAATGTTTCGTAAGCAGTATCCCGGGAAAGAAATGATGCAAAGAAATGCTAATTAAAATTAATCAATAAAAATGAAATTAAGTATTATTAACAAATATTTATTAAATATAACTAAATGTAATTTTAAAAGATTACCTTTGATTTTAAAGTAGTTATTAATATAGCATTTGGTATTAAAAATGCAGTCATCTTTTTCTCAATATTAACAACTTCAGTGAATGGCACTTTCAACTACAAAAACATAAAGACAAAAAATATTATTAAGTTAAAATCTTTTCTTTTTTATTAAATAACCTTTAACAATTATACTTACATTAGTGGTCCAACCAAAGATGTTTGCATGAAAGCATATATGATTTAATGAAACATATATTCTTCCTTGAATAAGAATTTCTTTCTGTAATGCACATCCATAATCTTTTTAAAAAAAATGTATAAAAAAGATAAATAAATAAATAAATGTAAGCATAACTATAAAATTAGATAATACTGAAATAAAATGATAATATAAAATGATAATGATATAAAATATATAAAATGATAATACTTTACCATTTAATAGATATTCATTTTGAGGAATTGATTTAAAGAAAGAATGATAATCTCTATTTCTCTTCGGATTTGCCTTTGCATAACCACTACTAATAGTTCCATCATTCATTCCAATATTTAAATAATCAGAACTATTATTTCCCTTACTTTTAGACTTTGGATGATTGGATACAGTAGCATTTCCTTCATCAATAATTTCTATATCATTAATTAAATATTCTTTATGACAATTATCTGTTTCAGTACTCGAAGATCTATTACGGATATGTTCATTGTTGTTATTTTCGTTTACTTTTGATATAAATGAAGGGATGGGGAATTCGGTTTCTTTTGAGTTATTATTCGGATTTGAAAATGAATTGTCAACATCTTTATCTTTAAGTATCACGTGTTCGGTTGTGAAGTTTTCTTCTTTCTGGGTAGATTTTTCTGATCCCTTACCAGGCTTACAACGACATTTAGAATCATCAACAAGACTTAATTGTGTTTCGTTTTTTTCTTGGCTTTTATTTCGTGTGTCATAATTTTCGCCGTTTTTTTTTGGATTAATTGCATCCGCGGGTGTTATGGTAGAACGTCGTTTCTTAAATTTTAATTCCTTAGATGAATCATCATCACTGTAAGTTGAGATGAATGATGAATTTGAAAACTTGTGAGAAATTTGCATATTTAAAGAATAAGTTACAGAAGTGGAAGACGAGGAAGTATTATCCTCAAATTTATCTGATTTAAAAGAATCACCAAAGTTTTCAAAGTATTGCTTAATATATTTGGGTGTATTTATGAAAGATGTTAATGGAGAAACAGAAGCTGATGAATTATCAAGATTTGAATTGGGAGTGGTTGATTTTCCAACTAATTGTGAAGTAGAAGTTTTACTTGAATTCTTTTTTGATTGATTATATTTATATTCATGCAAAGGATCAGAGAAATTATTATTAGATTTTAGGTCATCCATAATGGGAGCAGTAAAAGATTATTAATATTTAATTTTATATAATTTTTTAACTAAATGAATGTCGAAATTTTAAGGTTTTATTATTCTATTTGATTTATTTTATTCTATTTGATTTATTTTATTCTATTTTTGGGTATGAGTAAGGTTTAAAATAAGTACTCGATATTCTAATTTTTTTTTTCGCTTAGGGTCTAATATTTATCCCCTTCGAGAATTTACGGGATAATTAAAATCCAACGGATGACTTCATATTCATCATCACTGAAAAAATGAAGTTCTAGAGTATTAATAATTACTAAAAAAAAAAAAAAGATTTTCCGTAAATAATTTTAACAGAAGAGGTTAAAAAAAATTTCTTAAAGAAAGAGCACGAATAACTGAGAAAAAAAATTAAAAAATTGCTTTATTGTAATTGAATGTTATATGAATGCGTTAATATAATGGTAAATGAAAGGGTAAAATTACTGTTTAAACGGAATATCTCTTTCCGAATATTGCCTTTTGGGATTTTATGAATGATTACTTAATGCAAACATACCTAACATGGATTGTTTTTTCCATTTTATTTTATTTTGTAAAAGATAATATAATGTGCATCAATAAATATTAATAATCACGGTTGGTTGTACAGCTTCACTAAAGAAAGGAAGATGTAAAGTAGTAATTTCCGATAAATTTTGAGATATAAAAATACTTTCCCTTTTAAATTTTCTCAATACACAGATAATAAAAACACATAAATAACCAATAAGAAACATACGGTTTTATTTGTAAAAGATAATATTACATGATTTAATTAATTTGCGATGACAAGGTTTTAAGATTAACCGATTCAGAAGCATGATTTAAATTTTGTTTGAACAAACGGTTAAAAAAGGAAAATTCTACAAGATTTCCTAATTTATTTCTGGCTAATCACGTATACAAACAAATTTAACAATAAATTAACGTTTGTGTAACAAGTTATGGTTTTCCACCAATTGGTACTTTATTATTATTAATTAAAATTTAAAAATACAAATTTCTTTGAAATCGGACAAATAAAACTTTATTCAAAAAGTAGAAAAGTTCCTATCATTTCCCTTTCTTGATTTATTTCATCCTCGTCCTCTGCATTATCAATAATATCCAATCTTTTCTGCAAAACTAAAGTTTGATTTTCGGCAATGTACTTATTACAATAATCTTTTAGTTGTTTCGCATTACATTCATTTGCCCAACTTTGGATCTCTAATACATTACTCACACCAACTTCGCATTTAACTGCAATAGTATGTTCAATAAATTCTTTAAGTGGATCAATTTGATATTTATCAGAAGCCTTAAGAAGATCAATTAAAGTCCACAAGTCATATGTTTTACTATTGTGCAATACAGCCTCATCAAATGGTTGACCATATAACCACCGAATAAGTATTCGGAATGTTTCAGGCTCAATATCATCAATTCTCACTTCCACTCTTTGAAATTCTACAGATTCATTCATTTGACCGCAGAAAAGTGTCTTAAAATGGTTCGCAGCAGCTATTGAAATAGACTTTAAAATTTAACCATAATGAGATTGTGATGAGATTGTCAAAATAAATAAATTACATACCTGATAAAACATATCGATTTGCATATATTTTTTCTTCTTTAACAAGAAAGATTACATCGTGGTGTTTGCTTGCTTCTTGTTCCGCGAAAAAATCGATCATTTGTTTTATTAGCTGTTTTGATTGATCGTGTTGTGGTACTGGTACCGACCCTTTAATATTCTTTAATTCCTCTGCTCCAGCTAATTTCAATAAAGATTTGTAACCTTGTAGAAATTTGTTAACTTTATGTAAATTAGGTCCAATACTTTCAGTAACATTAAATACTAAATTTATCCCTGCTACCCAATGTTCTGGATTAAATGGATCATCTCCATTCAAAAATAATTTTTCATTTATTTTTATTATTCCTTCTAGATTGGTAGTTCTATTTTCAACAAATTTGTTTAAAGTGTCATAAATCTCACTTAAAATTGCTTTCAATTCATTGCAACCTTGAGGTGATCTCCAATAAGAATTTGTTGTATGTGTTATATCTTTAACTACTACACGCCAATGGTCGATCACCACCTTGAGATTTGGTTTAAGTACTCCCAGTCTTCGAATCATATTTTCTGGTGGCTCAAGTGTCCTCTCAATCATTGAAGCTTGAGTCCAAACCAAATTTTTATGTTTAAGTAAATATAATGAATTGAAGGATTCGGGATCAGAGGTTTTTGTAGCAAAAATCTTGTAGTGTTCAGGAATATTTAATTCAATAGGAATAAATTTGATATTCTGAAGTGTTTCCAAGTGTTCTTGACTAAATGTTGATAGTAAGTTTTCATCATAATAGAAATAAGCCAACAATTCTCTAACCAATAATTTGGTGACCGGCAAAGGAATAATATTAGATTTTTGAAATTTAGATTCAACTTCAAGAGCACATTCAATAAAAGTATCGGAATTGATGGTTCTTTTGAAACCCATTCTTGCTAATGCATCTAAAACTATTGCATCATTTTGTAATGCCGGTGGCAAAAATACATCTTTCTCGCCAAAAATACGGCGAAATTTTTCCACATTGTAATCATACAATGTGCAAGCTTTAACAAGTGCTGTAAGTGATTTATTTGGAATGACTTCATAGAATTTTAAATAATTTTCGATTTCAGGATCTTTCAATAAAAGAACTTTCTTCAAAAGATCAACATATTTGTCATCAGGAATAATTTGTAAAGAACATGGAAATAGGTACTCTTTGACATAATCTAATTCGGTATAAGTTTTTTTTGCAATTTGGAACAAAGTTTCGTAATCAGTATCATCTTCGGGGGAGAACATATCGCCAGCTTCAGTTTCGGGGGGGAATACATAAGCATCAGTTGGAAGCGAAAAATATGGAAGTTTCTTTGGAAGAAGAGCTCCCGAATTAGCAGAAATAAACTTATCGGAAGAATGTGCAGACCATATTGGTAAATCTTTAAGGATTGATAAAGTTTCACGTCTTTTTTTAACTTCTGCTAGGGCAATAGATGAACTTTGGTTAGTAAAAGGATTTTCGAAAATAAATAGCAAAAGAAATTAAAAATATAATGCATACCTGAAATATTTTCATTAATATATGACTTCAGGATTTTAATATCCTCCGGGGATAAAGATTTGAATAGTTCATCATATGATTTATTAGATGCGTTATTTTTTGCTCTCTCAATTGATTTCATCACATTTATTTCATTGAATGAAACTATGCATTGTTTAAGATTTTTGTGAGCATTTTCCTTTAACTTATAATTAGTAAATCGTACTCCCAGTTTGACTAGAGTATTAACGATATTGTGATTTTCAAATGATAATAAAGGATTGTGAAAATCAAATTGGACGAGTTTATCACAAGGCTTAGTCATCGGAAGAAGAGGAAACATGGAAAAATTCGAAAGTTCAAATTGATCATTCACTGTAAAGAATGACAAAATTTTTTCAATCCAGTCTATATTTAAATATGATTTTGAATGAGGGTCCCAATCTATTTCCTTCACATTATACATATTGGGAAGCTCTAATTTCAAAAGTTTGATAATGCTTTTTGCTTTAAGTTTATATATTTTCAATTCTTCGGTAAAAATGACTTTAAGATCTTCTGGTAACTTAGCGATAAAGTGAGTTGGTCCAGTTTTTTTAAATAATTCCCTATATTCTTTTTTAGCTAAATAATAATCTTGTTTTCCGAATGTTCCAACATTACCACCTAAAAGAGGGACTAAGGTCACTTCATCGAGCATGTCAAAAGATTTTAAATTGCTTTTTATGAATCCCAATATATGAAAAACAGTTTTTTGGATATTATTATTGGACTCTTTGTTTTCTGTTACGCTCGTGAATTTTTTGTAGGAATTCCATATATTATCATTATTACGAAGAGTATCACATATTAGTTGAGGTGAAATAACATTAGGCGTGATCGGTCCTCTTTTAAGCTTAGGAAGTTCTTCAATGTTATCATATTGTTCCTTTGACAATTTTACAATTGGAACATTTTCTCTGATAAGAACATCGGAAATAATTGAATTCTCAGGATTAGCAAAACAAGATTCTCTAAATGATAAAAATTCCCCTTCATTTGCTTCTGTCCAAAATATACGAAAATTACGATGATAAAGTTTTTGAATAACTGTTAACCCATATCTTTTATAAATTCCTGAAGTTTGAAATTCTTCGTTAAAGGCTATTGGCCAATCTCTTGTAATCATTTTTGCAATAAAATTTTCTTCTGATTGATTAGGATCATCCATAAATTCCTTAAATTGAGCAAAATTGATAATTGCAATTTGTTCAAGCAATTTAGCATGTAATATTGGCAAAATATCAAATAATATATATCTATTCCATTTTCCAGTGATATCATCGTTGTTGTCCGCCATTAAGTCAGAGTTAAGAATGTTCTGACGATCACTGGATAAAGAAAAGCTGCCATTTAACATTACTTTCAAATTGTTAGTCATCGAGAGTGACAAGTACGAATACATTTCTCCCCTTATTTTTGGTAAATAATTTGTCTAGAAATAATGAAATCATAAGTAACACGTTTAGAAAAACAGTAAAATATATCTAACTAATTAACTGCGTTAAATACCTTTTGATTGGCTTCTTCAGCAATTAATGCAGCAACGCCACCTCTAGGCTATAATTAATTTATTATTGATTTATTATTGAATTATTATTAATTTATTATTTTAATAAAAATAAAAATAATAAATAACTTTTGATTCTATTCACTTACCATTACTTTCTTTTCTTCAGCGAAATATTTAAATTCAGGTTTTACCTCTTCGCTCCCACCAGAACTTAAAAGCCAATATTCAATTCTTTTTTTATCTCCACGTAAGATTTCAATACCGAGACTAAATATATTTTGTTCGTAACTATTCGATTTACGCATTTCCATTATGTCTGGAGACATATTATTAATCTTGGTTTCCCAGATCAACTGTGAAGAATAATCAGGTCTTTCTTCCTTGCTTCGCCCTGTCATACTCAATAAAGATGACATAAGAGCCATTCTCGGATTTATGACTGTTACACTACAGTATTTAATGTTTCTTAAAAATAATATTTCTTTATTTCCCTCTATATTGCCGAACATATTTTGCAGATGATTAGGTTCGAAAATTTTATCAGATATCAAACTTTTACTGATTGTCTTATGAGTTCTTAGAGGAATTCTAAATAAAGTTCCATTGAATTTTTTTTGAAAATCACATCCTTCAATAGAAAGATAAGGTAGTGATTGATCAGAAAATCGATTTCTAAAATCTGATTTCAAAAAATTATATCGATTTCCGAGGGGCCTTCTTGGTGGAACTCCCATAGATGGAAGATATTGGCCATGTGGGTCCAAGAAAGCGATATATTCACCGCTAACGAAACTTGGAAGATCAGTGAAGTTGAAAGCGCAATTGAACCCAATACCGAATCGACCGATTTTGTTTTCATCTTTTGATTTACTGCCAGACCCAAGTTTAAGCAATGATTCGAAATCTTTTTCTGTAAATTCTGCATCATTATAAATCCATAAAGCAGGTCCTTGCCAAAGATTCATTTCACGATCTAGTAAAGAATTACTGTTTTTTGTGAAACTTCTTTCATCGATGTATAATTTAAAATGTTGAGCGCCTGCATCATCAGCATTCTAAATAAAATAAAATTCATAAATTCTCATAGTCGAACTTTACTAAAAAAAAAAAAATTCAAAAAAATTTATAATAAATAATAACCTGTAAGAACTCTCTGAAAGTTTTTTTAGGCAAATAATCCTAAAAAAAAAAAAATTGATTTCAATAAACTTACATATTACTATTTGATGAAATTAAAAAATTTTAGCTTACATTGATGATATTCTTAATTCTAGTGGTTAAAGATTCACCTTGCTCATAAAATTCAGGGATAAAATCATCAGCTAAATAATGGAAAAGAAAGTAAGTAAAAAATATGTTCAAAAATATTTTTAAAGCTATTACTAGTTGTACATTAGAACCTACCATCTTCCATAAATTTCCCAGTGAGCATTTGCATTCCAATATTCTGTGCAGTATTTAATGATATAGATGAATGTGAAATTAAAAATTCATCTTTTTGTTCTTGGCTCAACCTTGTACCCATATCATCATATTGAATTTCATTTAAATCAACAAGCTTCCCTTTTGTAGTAGGTATAAGCAAACCTTTTAATGTTCCTGATAGTCTTGTTTTGTCATCAAGTTTTTTTGAAATTTGCTCAATATATTCAATTACTTCAAATATTTTATCCAATGACAATATACTGGATTCATCGGTATAAAAATTATCTCTTATTACATTAATATAATCTTGTATCATGACTTTTTGACGAATACCCATAAATAGAAACATATCCTTTTTCGGTTGATAATAATGTGGAAGTTCTACTATTAAAGTATTTTTATTTCCAAAATCTTTTGGAAGATCAAAAACAACTTTATCAGATGAATAGAATCGACCTTTAACCAAAATCCATGGTTTGTCATGAAGTTCTTCGCGAAGTAAAAAGGCTTCAGATTGGGATTGAGGATCTTTTGATGAAATTGCTTCATTCATATATTCGTAAATTTTATTACAAATATCATAAATATTTTGATCTGATGAATGCTGAGGGCATGCTATAAGCTGAGAAATCACACGTTGAACGGGTACATATCCTTTCCATCCTAAATGTTTACGAAAACTATCATTCTTAATTTCATAGTAAAGAATGGGAGCAATATATCCAATTAAATCCTTATCTTTCACGTCTCGACAATCTTGAGGTTTTGAAAATCTTTTTTGTTTTGAAATTTCCATCGTTGGAATCCAATCGTGAGATTGAAGATAAGGAAAAATAGAATGATTTAAATTACTTTTAATAAATAATCTATCCCATGAATCATCAATATATTCAACCAATTTAAAAGATTTAAGATGTAAGTCATCAAATAATTTGGGTTTATTGTCAATCTTGGCAATCTCTCGATTCGCATTAATTACATCAAACCGCTTACGAATATCATCCGTTGAAAGGAATATTTTAAGACCCAAATTTTTAAGCAAAGATATTTTTCGGGACATAAATTTCCCAACAGGAAAAACTTTTTCATCCTCAAAAAATAAATCTGAAATTTTTCGATTCTCGGGATTATATAAATCTATAGGTCTACTTAAAATAAATTGATCGGAATCTTCTTTTTTTAAAAACTTTTCAAGTGTACCAGTTGTAACAAAAGTTGTTTCCTTCAATATATCTTTTAATTCTGAATTGAATGTTTCCAATCGATTGAATAATTTTTCAACTACCACTTCGAGTATGTGCAAAGGTTGTAAACACAAATAGGGAAAGACCCAATATTTCCAGTAATTGATTTCTGATAATCGTTTAATCTTGATAACTTTTTCAAAAATATATTGAAGACTTGTTGTATTCGCGTTAAGAAAGCATATTTCAGGAGGAGCTATTATCTTCCCATAACTGTCCTCAATTTCCTTGGGAAGTAAATACCAATTCCGATTTTTATTTTGGAGTGAAATGAATTTTTCATGACCAACTTCAGTAAAGATTGGGAGATTTTTAATCACTTTGATTAAATCAGCATTACCATTTCCAGAATTATGAAAATTTCTTAACTGCAAATGAGCACACAAATATTCTATCATGTCTAATGCATCTTGGGAAGATAAATCAATATTCAAATTTTGAGGATATGAATTTGAATTGCATAGACAGGACAAAACTGATGACACATCAGCCAGTTTAAAAACGTAAGGTGAAAGACTAAAGAAATTAGAGTAATATTATAAGTAATTTTATAAATAAATAACTTAAAAAAAAAAAAAATGCCCAAATTATTAATTAAACATACTTTTTCCAATCGTGTATTGAACTTTTTTCAAAATTTTTATCAATAAATACTGCTCCGAATTTTTCAATGAGTGGTTGAATTTTGTTATCTAGTTCATTATCAATACTATTCCATAAACATTTTTCGGAAGTATTTACTTTCCGTAACGTTCCATGATTTGTTGGTAAAAGATGTAAAGATTCAAATTCCACCAAATCGTAGCTCCTCGCTTCAAAATTTTCCCAAATTAGATAAATCCATTCACGATTAACAGTCGATTTGATTTCATCAGAATTTATATTGTACTCCTTCAAATTCTTCTTAATTAAATTAGCTACAGTAATTTTGGTTAATATCTTGATATTGAGATCCCAGTTACCTTTCGCACCTTCATATAAAATCTCCCATAATCTGTTGGGAATTTCTTTATCAATAAATTTCTCTAAATTGTTAGTAAATATTTTACGCTCATCATAACACATTAAACTCTGTGATCTATCAGGTCCAATATATACAATATTATTATTATTATTATTCCGTGAAATTGTTCCAAAAGTTCCATCCGCCAATGGTATCATTTGAAATCCTTCCAATTCATTATAATTCTTATCCTGAAGTATATATAAAAACAAACTCAAAATTTCATCACGTTTTAAATTTTGCCATCGAGAACGATTTTGGTGAAGGTATTTTCTAATTATTTGTGGTGAATAATAATTTAAATGATCTTTGTGACGTGATCTACTCAATTCAGATTTAATTCCTGGTGTAATTTCTATCACTGGGAAACCGATATTTCTTAGAATTTCTGATACTATAGAAGATGCATAAGCTTCTGGTAAATATCCATTAGCTAAAGATAATAATCGAAATTTAGTTTCAATCTTAATGCGAGTGTCTGAAATCTTCGGTAATATGTTAGACATGTCTCCGGGTGGATTTGATGTAGAAGGTCCACAAAATACTTCGTCATCAACCCCAAGATTATTTATAACATTTAATAATAATTCCTTGCAAAACTTAACGGTACTACCCGAAGAATTATTACGAATTATTGGCCAAAAATCATACAATTCATTTGGTTTTATGTTTGGATATTCATAAGGGAGTTTAATCAAAAAGTTTACCCATGCTTGTGGAAGAATAACGTCAAAAAGATGTAAGTTCCAGAATACTTTAAGACTAGCTATCGCATCAAAAGCCTATAGAATGCTGTAAAGATTAACATAATAAATCTTACAAAATAAATTATTTAAAGAAAATGACACAAACCAGATCTTCATTATCTTCAGCAGTCCAAAGGGTACGCCTATTGGTACTGACCTTTATTAAATAATAATAAATAAATAATATTAAAATAAGTAAAAAACAATAATAATAATAAGAATAATAATAAATAAATAAATAAATAAATAAATAAATAAATAAATAAATAAATAAATAAATAAATTTTACAAACGTATAAGAATATATATCTCTTACCGCAAAATATCCATGCACAGAACCAAGAAAAGGCATAGAAATTGGAAGAGGTAAAAAACAAAATAGTCTTCCAATGTCTTTAAGATTATTAAGTGGCATAGCAATACCAACATTTGGTATAAATTTGTAATCCTTAATACTTTTTTCAAATTTTTTTCTTAAACTATCTTCTGCATCTTTCAAATTCCCAAGCCAATTGAAAATAATCCATTTATTGTCTACTGATTCCTTTTGATTTTCTTGTTGCCGATAATTAGCAATAAATAAAGTTCCTAATGTTGAAACTTTGTCATAATTTCCTGAATCCAATGACTTCATCATTGGAGAAATTTGAGTCACGACCAATTGACGTTTAATTCTGATTTCATCTGCATTTTCTAATTCAATTGTGTAAAGTAATGTTTTTTCGGATTCGCCTTCTTTTATTTCATAGAATTTGATGACTTCAATATATTTCAAGAATAATAGACAATTAATACTTTCATTTTCATAGAATTTTTTAAACATATCTAATATATCATCAGGTTTATATTCTTTCTTTGCAATTTCAGAAACAATAACATCATTAGCCGTTCGAAGAGGATATCTAAATAAGGAACCCTCAAATTCTTTATTTAATTCTTTACTGCCCGAAATTTGGAAAGGAGCAAATTGATCTGGATAACTTTCAGCCAATTTATCCTTAACAAAATCATATTTAATTCCTCCTTCAAAATACCATTCATGAGGATCCAAGATCACATAATTATTACCAGTGATGAAAGAAGGGGAATCAGTTATATGATAAATAGAGTTAAAACCAACACCCATCACTGAAAAAAAATATATATATTATTATTATTATTAATATTAAAATATCAGATAATGTATAAAACTTATTAAGAAATTACCTCCGATCTTATCGAATTGATCACGTTTTTCACTGTTGGCTAAACTAAGTAAAGAACTAAAGTCTCTTTCTTCAAAAATTGTATCATTTTTTGATAAGAGGGCAGGCCCTTGATATCGATCCAATTTTAAATTTGTTACACCATCACCAGTTAAATCGGTTTCAAATAAACTTTTTTTAGGATAAGTATTACGATCGAGTATAAAAATTTGTTGACGACTTTTTGCATCATCGGAATTTTGAAGAATTTCACGAAGGATTTGGGATCCATCTGGATATTCATCAAGAATTTTACTTAAACGATGTGTATACGGTTCACCTGGTTTAAAACCAACTCCTTTGGCTTTTATTGTTGAAGTCATTATATTTTTTTATTCTCGTCAAATATATATTTTTTTATTTCTCATTAAAATATTTAAATTTTTTTTAAAAAAATAAATGTACTAGAATTTGATTAAAAATATTATCAAATAATGAATTAAATTATGAGATAAACTTCATTTTATAAAGGAGAATTCATAGACGTTTTTTTTGGATATTGTTGCCATGAATGGTTAACAAAAATCTTATCTGATACAATAACAACGGAGTAATATATTCCGCTTGTTTTTAAATAGTTTGTGCACCCCTTGAATTTTATGTGATATGATAATGTCGGAACGATTATTTCACTTAAATACGTTATAATAAAATTTCAATTGATTCTAAATTTTTTGTACAATATAATGGATATTTATGTCTTTGAAATGTATTTGAAACTGAAGGCCAGGTATCCACATGAAAAATCCATATTTTTATATTATTTTTTATTCTTTGATTCATTTGATAAGGATATCATGTGAAATGAAGAAAGATCATCAAAAAAACTTGTTTTCGTATTAAATACTTGTATAGAAGCTTGTCTTAAATGAATTATGTAACCTTTTTAAATTAAAAGATAGTTTTTTTTGAAAAAAGTGATCTGTCACAATAATAATAAAACCCCCCTTCTAACCAAATAAATATAATTATGAAGATTAAGGGATAATGAATTGAATAATAATAAAGCTATTTATGGTACTTAGTGATATAAGTCCAAAATAATGATGTAATAAAAACTGCGGCGCATAAGGCGTGTGTGAAAAAAGATTACATTAATATCTTAAAAGGAATTTTTGTAACTCTGAAATTTAGGACACGTATTACGACAAACAACAAATGATCCATTTGAGATTCACAAATTTTACTTAGTGTAGCAACTTCTTTCTCTTTTTTACATCTTTTATTTTCAGTGTTGGTACATCACATTTCTCATTCAATTGACTTATTAGATAATTGGGCAATTGGGCAATTGGACAATTGATAATTGGACAATTGGACAATTGATATATGTTGTCCAATTGCTTTCGAATTAGCCAATTAAATTAATGATTATTTTAAATGCTAATAATTAATATAATATAATAATTAATATAATAGCTAAATAATGTAAAATAAATTTTGATTTTACATTTTAATAAATTTTTAATTAAAATTATTTTTTCATAGGATAATATTGGAAGGTAAGACCTCCCTGGAACAAAAAAAAAAAAATAATAAATATTGGAATTGGACTTAAGTCCAATTGTCCAATTACTCAATTGAACTTATTGGTACTAGTACGAAAAGTCCAGAATGCGTTTGCTCGTCATTAGAGTGACGATTTGCCTCATCGGAGGAGACATCATAACCTATTAATCAGGTGATGAACGGAATGTGTTTGCCTCGTCACTTGAGGCTAAGACACGTAATGTCGTAATTTGATGCAAGGAAGTATTGTCATTCTTTTGCTCTTCTTTTCGCATCAATTCGTTTATGCAGAATTTGCTTTCTGTATTTCTTTATTCCGTTCTCTTCTCTTTGTTTATTCTTCTATCCGATCATCCGTTTCTATTCTATCTATGTCCTATGGCTTGTTTTGTATTTCTTCTTTAAATCATCTCGACCGTTCCGTTTCTTTCTTTATTCCGATTCGCCCTTTCTTTTTCGCTACTTATAACTAAACATCGGAATTTTATTTTAAAAAATTACAACAGGCTGTACAATCATAAGAAAATGTGCAATTTTAGATATGGTTTTCTTTTTTTTATAGGTCATTTTTTGTGTATTTATGAATCAAAAGCAAAATGAAGTATATATTGCTTATACTGTATTCTAATGCTTTTGATTCAATACATAATTTAAAAAATGAATTAATTTAATAATAAGTAAATTTTTGATATTTTTAAAAAGATTTCTTTAATAGGAATAAATTTACTGATTTATATTATCTCTAAAAAATAGTTTTTTTAATATATACATTTTAATTAGTTTAGTTGTGATACATTAAATTATTAGATTTATTAATTAATTAAATTAATTTTAGAATGTCTTAATAAAATGTTCAACTCCAATAAGATATTCAATTCTAATAAGATGTTCTAATAATTGACTAAATGACCTCTTTAAAATTATAAAAAAAATAATGAAAATAACAGGAGAGATAAAAAAAATCCTTATTATAAGTAAAAATTTACAGATATCATTATCATTATCATTGCCAAAAGCCTTCTTCTTGATGAAACACCCATTTCACTGCATGCAAAATATTATCAGCCACATGATTTGCAGAATATTGTGATTCAATTTCTTCACCTTGGAATACCCCAGTTTTAACCAAGATAGAATTCCACCCATATCTATTTGCTCCAACAATGTCTATATCAATATGTTAAAATAAGATTTTCTTAGAAAAGATAAATATAAAATTCCCATTATTATTTATTTATTTTTAAAAAAAAAAAAACCTGATCTAGGGTTATCTCCAACAGCTGTAAATAAATAATAAAAAAAATTAAATATAATAATTATAAAAAAAAAAATAATAATTAAAAATAAATCAGAAATTTCTTTTTTACCATAAATTTTTCTATTAGGTAAATGATTTCCTGTCAACTCAACTGCATAATCTACTAATATCTTTTGTGCATAATTGTATGTTACTAATTCAGGTTTTCCAAATAATTCATATTTCAATTTTAATCCTGTCATTTTCTATAAATAAATATTATATAGTTAAATAAAAATTAAAAGAAATGAAATTGGTTAAATATAGCCAATTCTAAATTCTTATTATCTTTACCTCAAATAAACTTTCTAATGCTAATCTAAACGATCCTTGTGCGAATCTAGGATTTGGAAAATCATTTGACCATATCTAAATTTATTAAATTTATTAAATTCATTAAATTAATTAAATTCATTAAATTTATTAAATTCATTAAATTAATTAAATTCATTAAATTTAAATGCTTAAAGAAATGAATAAAAAATGAATATTTAAAAACTTTCAAATATTAAGTATCATTATAAATAATATTCATTATAATTCATTAAATTCCTATTGAATATTTACAATATCCGGATTAGAAAAAAACAATGGTATTCTTCGCGTAATTAAGTCAGATTGACTTGCCAATGTATCAACATATCCTTCTTTACTACGTAAAACATCTAACGTTATTTGTAAATCACGACCCCCTTAACAAAATAAAAAAAAAAATAATAATTAATAAATTTCGACGAATTGAAAAATGTCAAAGTAGAAAAAAAAAAAGAATTACTCACAATCGCGACTATCATGAAATACCATAACCGCTTCAATTTTTACATTTGAAAAATCTCTTTTCTTAAAAAAAAAAAAAAAAAAAAATTCTTTTAGAAATTAATTTAAATAGATCAAAAAATTACACAAATGAGAAGATAAATAATACCCTAATCCATTTTAAATCTTCTTCGCGTACTTCAGAAAAAGGCCAAATTCTTGGATTCCATGCAAGAATATCGCTTGGTAATACTACTTTTTTGAATCCGTAACTATAAGAATAATTAAGGTTAAATTGAGTTTAAGATTAGCGTGAAATTTGAACAAAAAAATTATTACTTCTCTGCAACTATTCTACAATTATCATTTTTACCTCCAACAATTAATATTTCAGCATCATAATATATGGGAACTAATTCTTTCATTGGAGAATGTGCTAACACAATTTGACAAGATTTTATCTATATTTTTTTTTTTAAAAAAAAAAAGAAATTTTTTTTAAGAAATTAATAAGAATAATTTCTTTCTTAAAAATACTTTAAAATTTTAATATCTTACCGGAAAATCAAGCATTTTACTCAATTGTTGTGCTTTCTTTTCTTCAGTTATACCACCACCATTAGTTAATAATATAAATGGAATCTTTCTTTGATTAATTCGTAAATTTAAAGAAATGAAAAAAAAAATTATTTTGTTTTAATATATATATATATATGAAATAAACCAATTAAAACAAAGGCATTATAATAATAAGCTTACTTATTTAAAGAATTTTCCCCATTAAGAAATTGAAGTGCGGGTTTAGTTTCGGGGATAATACTCTTACCCTGTATTTCATTAAATAATAAACATTATTTAAAAAAAATTAAAAACATAAAATTAAAATTACGAGAAAAAATGCTCACTTTTATAAGCACTCCATCGACGTCAATACATAAACCATAATGACAGAGTGGCGAAGAATACCAACGACGAGAAGAATTTGTAAAGATTTTAAATTTTAAATTAATGCGAATTATTGAGCGAAACATTAAGATTTTTTTTTTCACATTTTCATCTGATAGTGCTTTTATGTTGTACAAGATTAAAATAAACCATCCCGAGACATTTATTAAAGTTATGACGACATTTATTTATCGAAGTAGTAAGAACCACGCAATATACACCCGTGAAAAAAAAAAGATTAAACTTTGAATTTCCTATTAAGTAAACAAAGTAAAAAACAAAAAGGGACACTGCGGAAGAAAAAGTTTTCCGAACCAATAGAAACTCGAACGTAAATTCAAAACATTCGTCTATTTATAGAACCGCAAAATGAATTAAGAAAAATTTCGAAAAAACGATGAATGAAATTCCTCACGCAAACGAAAATTTTTGTTTCGATAATGAACCTTCCGATAAATTTCTTCCCATTCACGAAGAAGAAGAACTAATAAATTTCTTTCTGGAAAAGAAGAAAAATGGGAAAATATCTAGACCCCCCAATTCATTTATGGTATATCGACATTATTTGACCAATAAACATAAAAAAGAAAATGTAAATTTGAGAATTGCGGTACCGGATTTTTCCAGATTTGCAACAAATTCTTGGGAAAATAAGTCCCCGAAAGTAAAACGCTATTTCGGACATTTGGCGAAAGAAATCAAAAAACTCCATCAAGAAAAATACCCAACATATAAATACGACCCACATAAAAGAAAGAAAAGAAAGAAAAAAAATATACGTAAATTAAAAAAATTGGAAGAAAACGAGTCGGCGAACTCTCAAGCATTTTCTTCCTTTCCAGCATCAACCACCATTTCATCTTATTTAAAACCTCAAAATTCTAACTATGACGTCACACTTTATGAAGATCAACAAAATGATTCAATAGAAAACGTTCCTCCACTTCCTTATCTAAATGACAACAACTATTCAAATCCAGTTGATTTTTTTGCTCCCTTAAATCAAATTTTAAGTGGCAATGATAATGATTCAGTTAATTTTTTTGCTCCCCTAAATCAAAATCCAAGTGACAATTACTACTCAGAATTAACAAATTCGGTTAATTTTTTAAATCAAAATTCAAGTGACGACCAATTTTATTTCAATAATTCTCCGGAATTAACAACTGACTTGAACGAATTTTCTTTAAATAATCAACTTTATACCTATTCTCCAATTTCCAATTCTCCGGAATTAACAACCAACTTGAACGAATTTTCTTTAAATAATCAACTTTTTATCTATTCTCCAATTTCCAATTCTCCGGAATTAACGAACGAATTTTTTTTAAATAATCAACTTTATACTAGCGTTTTACTACCTCCAAATATCTACTTATTTCCAAATAATGAAATCCAATATATGATTCACCATGTGCCACCTGATCCGCCTGACGGAAATTTAATTTAAAATTCATTCTAAAAAATTTCCTTCATCTTCTGATCAACAAAATCAAAATGACATATATCAATAAAACAAACAAAAAAAACAAAATGACATATATCAACTCAACAAACAAAAAAACAAAATGACATATAACAACACAACACAACACAACACACAACACAACAAACAAAAAAAAAGGATTTCTTTATTCTTTTTTCCTTTTCGACATTCCCTCCTCCTCCTCCATCCAAGCAATTAATTTAATTAATTTAAATTCAATTGCTAACTTATATTTTTTTCTTGTGACTAAACCCTATTTAGTGTGAAGCAACACTGCACCATTCTACTGAATTGGATGCCGAAATTCAAAAAAGGGAACTTTTTTGAATTTCGGCACCCATATCTTAACTAAGATCTTTAGAATGTTTCAGTGTTGCTTCGCGATGATTAGGATTTAGTCACAAGAAAAAAATACAAGTTAGACAGTTGTAAATTCAAAACCTTCCACCTTTTCGTAACTTAATATTGTAGTATATTATATTGTTGTTGAGTTATTGATCATAATGATTTCAAAAAAAAAATTTTTTTTCAATTAAAAATCTTTTTCATTCTTTAATTAAAAACAATTCAACAATTCAGAAGATGATTTACCATTCCTTTTTTTTTAAAAAAAAAAAAAATTCAAATTCTCAAAAATCTCTACAATTCTTGGAGATTCAAATAATGATAATTGTTCTCTAAAATAATTTTTGATAATAACAGATTTTTTTTTTTTTTATTATTTATTTCATTACATATTTTATTTTTTATTATGTACTTTATTCATTTACTATACATTTATTCATTTATTTATTTATTATTTATTATATTGTAAAGAAATTTTATAAATAAAGATTCATATTTTAAACTAAAATATAATGTAAAAATGTGCTTTGTAATTTATATAAAATGATATAAAATAAATTGATATGTGAGAAGATAACTTTTACGTAATTTTATCATTCATATACGAATCCAGATAATTTTGATTTTATTTTTATTCTTGCTGTTATTATTACGTTTTTTTTTAAAAAAAAAAGAAAGTCTTCTCACATATGTTCTCATAAAAAAAATCTTAACCAAGAAAAAAATTTTTCAATATGAAGATAAAAAAAATCTGAAAACAAAGTAATTTTTTTTTTGGAATGTGAAAGTTATTTTTTTTTTTTTTCGGAATGAAAAAAAAAAAATTGATTCATATAAAAACCAAAAGAGTGAAAAGAATGTTGTCGTTTTCGGTTTAGTTTGTATTGAAAAGTTTGTATAAAGAAACTCTTAGTCAATCCAGTGCATAAATTCTTTTTTTTTTTTTGTTAGTTAGCAAAAAAGAAAACAAAAAAAAAAAAAAAAAGGAAAATAATTCTTTTTCTCAACATCGTTAATGAAAATATGAAGAGAATCAACACAAATATTATATTTATAGGATTATTTTGTTTAAAAGGGTTGTTAACGTTTAAAGGATTGTTTATGTTTAAAAGGATTGAAGATAGGGTACATCATTCATTAGTATATCCTTAAACAAAAAAAAAAAAAAAAAAAAAAGCAAAATAAAATAATTCGTTTTGCCCTTAATAAAATTTAAAGTATTTTTTTTTTTTTTTTTTGTAATATGTATAATTTCAAAGCAGAAAATGATGATTTTTTTATATAAATAAAAATAAATATTTCGTTCATTTCGGATAAATTTCTTAGGATGGTTGATTAAAACAATGTACGTGTACGTAAAATAAAATTCATTATTATGTATACATTCGATCTGCGTTAAAAATCATTAAGAGTTGTCAAGGGAAAAAAAAATATACATATATTATGATAGATATGATTGATAGATATGATAAATATGATACATAATGAAAAATGAATTATTAAATTATCATTATTTATTATTTAACTAATACAACATCCTCTTGAAAACCACCATTCCCCTCTTATTTGTTCAATCCACATGACAACCAACTTTAATCTTTCTCTAACTGATCTTTCCTCCAATAATTTATACTTCTCATTTTCATTGATTGGTAATATGGAAGCTACCCAATAGGAAAAATTTGAAGGATCATTTGGCAATTCTCCATATGTAGAATTAATACGTTGTTCTAACCATGCTGCATACCCATTTCTTATGTCTTCAATAAGTCCTGAAGCTAAAGTAATTAGTTCTGAAGTGGTATGTTCGAGAGCATTATTTATTCCTGCATTTCTAATTGCTTCCCTTTCTCGAGCTATTTCTTCTTCAGCACTTATATCATCAACTCTTTCAATTTTTCCAACATCATATCCATCTCTCATTCCTGTTTCCAATACACGGAATCTATAAGTACCAATAGTTTCCACCATCAATCGACCATCATCTTCCAAAACTTCAGTGGACCGTATTTCTAACATAGTTCCATATTCGGTAAATCCATTTTCAGTTTTTAATACCATTCCAAATTGTCTTGTTCTTGATTCCAGACATCTTCTTATCATTAATTTATATCTAGGTTCATATATATTTAAGAAACAAGACATATTTGGAAAGACAAGAGAAGTAGCAAATATTGGAATATATTGCATATCATTTATGTCATTTACATCATTCTCTACTAATTGTCTTCTCCCTTCAGAAAGTAATGTTGAATATAAAGAAATTATAAAAGTGTGTAAGGTTTTATTTATCGGTTGATTAATAAAAGAAATATAATCCTGTAGTTGATATCGACATAAAGGACATCGACCATTAAGATCTAAAGATCGTGTTAAACAAGATTTACAATAAGTATGCCCACATGGTGTTGTTATAGGATCGATAAATAATTGATAACAAACTTTACAATCTAATTCTTGTAATAATAAATCTTTTAGGCAATCGAATTGTGATAAATTAAATTGTGGTAAAGCGGAAATTAATGGTAATTGTTCTCGCCTTATGATATCAGTTAATTTATTTATTGAAAAATCTGTTACTGTATTAATTTCATGTTGTCGATTACAACTTTGAATTGGACATTGAAATCGTCGATTGGTTGAAGAAGGTAATAAACATTGTCGACAAAATGTATTTCCACAAGAGAATGTAACTGGATCCTTGAATAAATTGACACATAACGGACAGTAAAGTAATTGTAAAATCATATAAATTTGATCATTATAATTATTATTATTATTATTATTATTATGTTCGTTAGTGAATGAAGAGGATATTGAGGAAGAGGAAGATGATATTGATATAACATCGTCATCACGCTCTGAATTTAATAATGAATTTATGTTCATATTTTCTTATTATTATGTATTTTATGTGTTAATATGTTAAGGAATTTTTTTGAACTAAAATATTATTTATAATATAGTTCTCGGAAGAAAAAAGGAAGAGAGGAATATATATATATATATATAAGTTTTATATTATTTGTGCTTTCGTATAAAAATAAAAGATGTTTTTAAAAAAAAAGAATTATAATAATAATAATTAGGATGATTAGGGTAAGAAAGAAGTATTTTTATGACAGCGAGGATGACTAAGAAGAAACGTTAACTAATAGACGTTGACTAAGGAGACGTTGACTAAAAAGAAGAGAACGATAATGATACCAAAAATAAAATTCAATGTTATTTATTAATTTTCAATTCAATCATAAACAAATAAACATGATGATGATAGATTATTAATTACCTTGCGAGACCAGATAAATAAACACTGCAATTCCTAAGTAACTTGAAAGTACACAATAAAAAAAAAAAGCCTCTTTTATAAATAAAATTATATGTAAAATTAATGTAAAATGTATTTGAATTTATGTTGACAAATTATTGCCTTTTGATACTTTTGATAAAGGTTTTGTTTTTTTTTTCTTGTCCAACTATCCTATATATATATGCAAATATATACAAAAAAAAATGCCAAAATGCTAAAATACAAAATATAAAATATATAAACAGTATATTGGAAAATGGAGATATAAATAAAAAAAAAACAGAGATCGAAAAATACACAAAAAACTACAATCATACAATATAAAATATAGAAATATTTTAAAAAGTTGTAAAACATACATTTATTACAAAAAGCTGACCTAACAATTACATAATAAATAGAAGATTTGATACTTTTTAGTTTTTTATACAGTTTAAAATAGTTTTAAAATACTTTATTAATTATTTAGTGTGTAATTTGTAATGCCTCCGATTTTATTAATTATATTTATATAATTAAAATTAGGTTATAATAAAATTCTAATCCGGATGGAAATTTCTAATTTAAGTATTTCTTTAATGACATTCCCTTAATTAACTTAGATTCCGGATTGATTTTCTGCATATTTTTGATCAATAATAAAAAAAAAACGATACATCAATACAAACGGCGAAGGGGAATTATCGGAAATTTTTCCCCACATATAAAAAAGAATTTTAAAAATGATGTGACGCTTATTCATTTCATCATTCTTATTATTAATATTATTACTTAATATTCTTATTTCTTACTATAAATTATTCATCTTTATGTATGGATATTTTGTAATATAATAATCTGTCAAAAATCTAAACTTGTACAAATAATTTTTTGTTTTGATTCATTTTTCATTTTTCATTTTTCATTTTTCATTTAATTTCATTTCATCCGATTCATTCGATTCATTTGTTACATGTATTCTCTAAGTTAATTATGCCGAATAATAAAATATAATAAAATAATAATTAACAATGACATATTATTATATGCTTATTAAAGCATTTGGTCATTAAAGCAATCGTAATATACTAACATTTTTTTTATTTTTTTATTTTTTTCCTAATCACCCAATCACCTAATCATGAAACAGATTTTATTATTATAAAAATTACAAAAAATTATAAAAAAATCACAAAAAAATCATAAAAATTACAAAAATTATAAAACGTTTCACTAATCTCACTAAACAAATGGTGATGACATGAAAGATAAGAAAGAAAAGTAATTATGTTAATGGATTATTTGTACTCAAATCTAATTAAGTACCAGATTATTTTATAAAAAAAAAAATTAAATTAAATTAAATTAATGATTGTTCGTTAAAAAAAAGGAAAAATGTGAGTAAAAAAAAAGTAATAATATAATAATATATTTTATATCTTTGTATTAAAGGGATATATGATTTGTGATAAATCTCATAAAAAATCTCGAATTATGAGTGATAACGGAGAAATTTTTGGTAGTTTTTTTTAATCAAAAAAAAAAAAAAAAAAAAAGATTACAACTTGCCTTTGACTAATATAATTGCTTACATAACCACACCACAAATAATTCAACGCAACAACAACACAACATATAATAAATAAATAATACCTTTTTGCGTAACTTTAATTAATTTATTTAGAATAATCATTAGTTACTTATTGTTGTTGGGTTAATAAAAATTTCTTTCTAAATTTCTTTCTATGGGTATTTTCTTTTATTCATTAATGTATCCATTATAATGTTCATACAATGTGTATCTTTCATACAATGTTGCACTTTTCATAAAATGTTGTATCAAATTAATGTAATTCATTAATACTTTGGCTATCAAAATCATCTCACATCATTAATTTTAATTTTCTTTCTCTCCAAAGAATGAACTTATTAAACACTAAAAAAATTCTAATTAAAAAGAACGGATAAACCAAAAGGTTACATTTATTCAAGATCCAAAAAAAGGAGAAGAAAGAAAACGAAAAAGATAAATGTATGTAAAAAAAATTTTACAGTTTTAAAGGTATAGATTCTATAAATAAAGTACAAAATGGATAAAAACGAATAATAAATGTAATTCAAAAAAATTATTCACGCTTCTAATATTTTACGTGATCAAGTTTTAACTGAATTTTTAATTTTATCACATTAAATGAAACGTACTTTATTATCAATAAACTTATTAAACATATTAACCATATTAATATATATATATATATATATATACATATATATACATACATATATATATATATATATTTTTTATAGAGAGCCAAAGAATAAAGAAAAATATATTTGAATTGTTATCTTCGTATCCTTATCATTACATTATTGTTAATCATTCTTTAACTCGTTATTACTGTTAATTATTCTTTATTCGTTATTATTGTTACTAATTATTAATTATTTTCTTTCAATTACGCCACAACCATTAAAAAAATTATTCAAAAAATATTTTGTCAAACAAATAGTAACGCGAGATAGTAAGATATTAGAAAAACATTAATCATTTGAGTTATGTGAATTTTTAGAACATTTATACATTTTCACAATACATTTCATACTTATACGCGATTAATAAAGCCTAATTACCATTTACTCAAACGACCGCGTTCTTGTGTATGTGATTTAGAAAAACACTACATCATCGATTTCAGATTCTTATTTTTCATTCATTATAAATAATTTTTTAAGGGCTTGAATAATAATAAATAAACAAATAACAAATAACATTAACAATAATGGAAATATTCTGATTAAACGCGAAAAATTTTCATGTGCATATATGTATTATGTAATCTTACAACATTGCTTAGGAATGATTACGAGATCAATTCTCAAGTAAAGAAAAGATCGCTTATATTGTGGCTAATCCTTAAAAGAGATAATGATTAAAATAAAAGGAGACAATAAATAAATCATTAAAAATTAGTGATAAAAGGATGTATACATATAATTTATATGTAATAAAATAAAATAATTTCTTCTTTCTTTTCGTGCAAAAATGTGAGTTGTACAGGATAAAACATTGATAGACCTGTTTGTTTTATTTATTAATATATTCTGTATATACGGTAAGAAAAATTTTTAAATATTTAATATTTACATGAAAAAATTAACTGATTAACACATAATCAAATTAGGGAAATAAAATCCCTAATAAAGAGTTTTACAAGTTAAGAAAAAATCTGTAACTTTTAAAAACGCGTAATTTAAAAAAGTTAGTTCCAAATTATCATTAAGGTTAATAACCAGGTCAAATTAGGTTAATACAAAGTTAACTACCTAAGTTACTACTACTACTAAGTCAAGTTAGTCATAATACAATTAAAATTTTTCTCTAAATCCGAACTGTAAAACGTTACTTGTTCATATCTTTGCCTTGTAAATGAAGATTATATTAAGTGGTGCATATATACATATATACTGTATATACGCACCAATTATTTCTTCATGATTAATAGTTTTATGTTATAAATCTTTCGTTTATCGTCATTGTTTATTCTTATTTCTTTGTTGTTTACCTTTAATATTCATATGATATTCAAATTACATTGCATAGCGGAATCTATTACTATCAACTTTGATACCTTTATTCTACCACTACCAGTTGCATTAAATTATTTAAAATAAATTAAAAGTAGAATTAAATATTCTATATATGTAAGATAATCTTAAGAATATTTCCAAATGAGGAATAAAACAATTATTAATTTTTTTTTTTTTAAAAAAAAAAAATATCATTTACCATTTTTTTTTTATCGTCATCACTTAGTCAACTTTATGATTACGAAACCCAAAACAATTTATTATGTCATTTAAAGAACAGTTATTGGATGCTTATGTGAGCAGCTAGCGATCAAAAATAAACGGCGCACGCATGTACATATTTAGCGAATCCGAATATATCGAATGTTATATTATTGTCACATTGTAAAGTATTATTAAAGTTATTAAAAGTTATTTTAAAGTTATACCATATTATTGGTAATAATGATCATTTAATTTCTGATTTGATCAAATCATTTATTAGTTTAGTTGATTCTCATCATGCCTAATTAACATAAAATTTATCATCATTCATTCTTGGTAGATTCGAATTATTTGAAACTTCATATATTAAATATCATACACGAAATCCTTTTCATTTTTTTTTCGAAATCAAAATTCCTTTTTTTTTTTTTTACGGAGAATCTCATTTTCTCTGTGTGCAAATGTTTTAATAAACAAAAAAAAACACCGGTCATTTTTTTTTGCAATTGTGAAACCAGAGAAAAATTGACAGCAATGTTGTACGTAAGTGCATCATTGAAAATAATAATTGGTAATTTTGTTACACACTCGGATGGATCGAATTGGGTAACTATTGTCAACACATTAGTCAACTATAGAAAAGCCAATTGGTAACCAAAGGCTTCATTCAAAGGAAAATCCCACGATATTTCTATCAATAGATTAAATCCCCCCCCCCCCTAAAAATCTTTTCATGCGCACATGGAACCTGTAATTAATTTTACATGTCCTCAATATTGCATATAAAATCCGTAATTTCGCAATAGTTGTGGACTTTTGTCCAAAAATTTAGAATATCCAAGTTTTCTCTTTAAAAATGATAGTTTTTTTTTTTCATCTTAGTAAAACAAGTAAATTTCATTGTGTGTTGGATTGCTTCCTTGATTGCTTCCTTAATTACTTCATCAAGAATATTGTAATATACAGTTATTACAAAATAAAAAAAGACTTGCATTATAGTTTTTATTGTTACATGTATCAAACAATCATATTATAACAAGTTGAGCACCATCCATTCACATTTTTCAATATTTCATTCTGTTTTGCATTTGATAATTAGAATCTTCTGTTTTTTGTTTCTCCCAAGAAAATACCAAAATTGCTCCAATTTTTCTTTTTTTTTTCTTATTTACTATTAGTTTTCTCATAATTATCTGCTTTGTCCTCATTTTTCTAAATGGACATTGAGATTGCAAAGGTGAAGGTAAGTGTGTTGTCTTCTGTGTAAACGGTGAAAATCTTGATATTATTGAAGAACAAGAGTTGGTTACAGCAGCAGCCATAATTTTTTGTGACCAGTTCTTAAAATTCCAATATGGCGTTGAAGGATCTATAAAAGTGAGAGAATAGAAATATGAAGCAATCTTATGATAACCATAGTTAGATTATTCATATTAACTGAAGATTTAATCTTATTAAGGTAATTTATCATAAAGTTGTGTAAACAACAGTTTAACGGTTTGGTGAATTTTTTTTTTAAGTCAGGTCTGGTAATGCAAAGCATGAGAAAGAATCAAAAATAATGTATGTATATTAACTTTTTTTTATTATTAATATTTGGCGTTATCAACTATAAATTTATTATTATGTAATAACAATTTCCAATAAGAAATATGCATAATAATTGTAATTATAAAACAATTAACAACATGCATGACAATTGTAGAATTAACATAAAAGTAATAAAGGGTTCAATGAAAAAAAAAAAAAAATTAATAGTCATGGTGTCACCTACGGAAGGTAATTTAACCATATTCCACTTTCATAGGAGCTGGTTATATCTAAATACAGTATTTTCAGGAACCATATCTTCTAATTTTCTACAAATTCTTAGCCACAGAAAGTACCATTTACTTTAGTTCTTCTGGATCCGATTATTTTATCTTGGAAATTACTTTCTTTCAAAAATAATCATACGACGGCTTCAGTATTACATTGTTGTAATGATCTCATGTGGCTGTTATTTCGGCAGTAGCTTCAAAATTATGTTTAAAACTAGAGAGTATTTTTTTTTTCTAGTAGCCACCTGCCACTAAAATATGACTGGTGTAATGTAATACAGATAAATTATAATGTTATACGATATAGGATTAAATAAATAAATGGGTCTGAATTCAGAAATAAGCTCTAATCTTTGATATTTGAGTATCTTTTTACATCTTTTGATTTCGCTCGCGATTTGCGAAGCGTATCATTCCGATTGTATTGTTATTCGCGTTTAAGCCGACGTCCGTGAAAATTTCTGTCATAATTCTGGCCAGAATTACAGAAAATTTATGGCAGAAAATTTTCACGGACGTTCGATTTTAAACGCGAATAATTCTGCAAATATCAATGCTACCGAGATGAAACACATATAATTTTGTAGCCAAGAACAAGGCCTTTCTTTCTACACTCCCCTAGAAAAAGTATTTGTGGAATGATAAAATTTGAAAATAATTGCTAAAATTAAAATGTTAATTGTGGCACAATTAGTGATCTAAATTGTACAAACTTTTTTTAATTAGATTCCCTAAACTAGGGCTATCATATGATATATTTTGTGATAAAATCGAGCACCTATTACGCTTAAAATGAAACTGACAAAAAATAATAAATTTATTCTTAGATCGTTACCTATACCGCATTCGATGGGTATTAAAGATAGATACCA